CGTCTTGTTCCTTGACAAGATAAAAAATACCTAATTTCCCAAGCATATGTGTCTTAAAAAAGGCTCAATAGGACCATTGGTACATGCTTGTTTGTGTTCTTGTTTATATCTGGTGCATGCTTGTTCGCGTCCTTGTTTTTGTTATCTTCANGAGACAAAAATTACTTTGTCACGAAAAATACCACTTTGTTGAAAGAATATTACAATAATAAAGCCCCCCCCCCCTGTATGGTTAAAGATGTTAGTTGAGTTATGGCATTTTTTAATACAGGGTGTCCCAAATCATATTATTACAATTTTCAGAAAAGGAATTGTGTCTTTGGAACAAAATCAAATATTTAAACCTTAATATCTTTAGAAATCGATGTTGTAAACCTTTGATATCTTAAACTCAGATTATTTGATCTAACAGAATTCATAGTTTGAAATATCGAAGGTCTGCAACATTTGGTTCCAAAAATATAGTGATTGTTTGTGGCAAAGACTCAATTCCTTTAAGAAGAATAAATCATTTTGAAAAATTGAATAAGGCTAATACAAGAATTTTCTTGCGGAAAATACTAGTTTTTTCGAGTATTAAGGTTTTATTTTGGCGTTAAAGCTTGGAGATAATCTAATATGATATGGGACGCTCTGTAGAACCAACTTTTGTTTGAAATATTCTGGATGAATTTTAAATTACAACTTTGAAACAGTATACATACATACATATTTATGGTTTTTATTAATAAAGCTTAAGGAAAGAAGGATACTTTGTGTTGAAAAGCTGGCTTACATTCTAGTTTTCTATTTTACGCTTCCTTAAATCTGGAAGAAACACTTAAAGAAATACAAACATTTGTGTAGGATAGAATACAAGGGTATAGGATAGAATACAAGGGTATAGGATAGAATACAAGGGTATAGGATAGAATACAAGGGTATAGGATAGAATACAGGTGTGAGATGAGATTGGTTGGATCCTATGATCCTCCTTTACCGGATGTTCCCTAGGATTGAGAAACCTGGAGAGGGTGGTGTCGTGTCATGACACCTGGCTTTATAATCTGTCACGGAGAATAGGTTCATCCTAACCCTAGCTCCTAGTTTAGCTCCAAGTGTTCCAGGTGTCACGGAGATATAAACATGAATTACAAAATCTGTTCTAAATACTTTATCCCAGCAGGATTCATCCTGCTCTATCCAAACCAAATATTTGGATCGTGACACAGCTTGAAGAAGAAAAAACACAATTTCATCTTTTTAAAGGCTTTGTGGCAGTTAAAATTGGACTAATATCACTGTCAATTTTTTTTACTTTTTACTAAGAAGGTTTGCGAGTAAAGGGTATTAAGTGTTGGAAAGCCAAGAATGTTTACAGTGTGAAAAATTATAATAACTTTGTGTTAAATGTTTATTGGAGCAAATGAGAAAATTTTAGAAAGTGAAATCCGTTTCAGACGAATAGAGGAAACATAATTAAACATCAACAGGATTTCGTCCGAAATCCGGCCATATATGTACACGGACAGGATACAGCATTAGACCTAAACCTGGAGCTAAATCTTAAGCATGAGCTCTAAACCTGGAGCTAAACCCCTATTTCTGAACTTAAAGTATCTTTTGATCTTAACCAATAAAAGCCTGGTGATAAAATTAATAAAAAAGGCTAAAGCGAGGAACAATTAAGGATTATTAAACCTGAAGAAAGTCTTATCTGGAGCTTTTCTCTAGGCTTTATTTTGATCCTGAAACATAATCAATAAATAAGTCTAATTTAAAACCTAGAGTCAATTCGAAACCTGGAGTTAAACCTCTACCTGGAGTTAAACCGAATTTGGAGTAAAACCTAAACCTGGAGATAAAAAAACCAAGATGAAACCCTAATTCTAAAGTGACACTTATACCTGGAGTAAACCCAAAACCTGAAGTAAACCCTAAACCTGGAGTAATCCCAAAACCTAGTAAACCCTAAAACATGAAGTAAACCTCAAACCTGGAGTAAACCACAAACCTGAAGTTAAACCTAAACAGGGAGGAAACCCTTATTTGTAAAAAAACACCAAACCTGGAGTAAACCCTAAACCCAGAGTGAACCCAAACCTGGAGTGAAATCTTAACCTGGAGTAAACCCTAAACCCGGAAAGAAATTTAAACCTTGAGTTTAACCTAAACCTGGAGTAAACCCTAAACCTGGAGTAAACCCTAAACCTGGAGTGAATCCAAACCTGGAGTGAAATAAAAACCTGGAGTAAACCCTGAACCCGGAGTGAAACCTAAACCTGCAGAATGAAACTTAAACCTGGAGTTAACCCTAAACCCGGAGTGAAATTTAAACCTGGAGTAAACCCTAAACCCAAAGTGAAACCTAAACCTGCAGAGTGAAACTTAAACCTGGAGTGAAACCTAAACCCGGAGTGAAACCTAAACCAGGAGTAATCCCTAAACCCGGAGTGAAATCTAAACCTGTAGACCTGTAGCTTAAAAGTGAGTTTAATGACGTGTGAACCAAGTGTAAAATTATAGTTTAAACCAATGTCATAAATACAGGATTCTAAACTGCATATGGCGTTAATAAATCCCAGACTCCGGAACACATGTTTTATCAGGCATGGAGTTAAGAATTCAAACAATCAAAATATTTTGAAATTAGTCCTGGAGCCCTCAGCATACACCATACACAATTATAGTCTTTGTCAATTTTATACGGAATAATTTGATCGCAGGTTTAGCATTCATTCAATCATATTTCAGCAATAATAACAAAATAATAATATTCCAGTCATAATTATCCTAATTTTAAATTGCCATTAAAGTGGTCTTTAATAGATTCTCATTTGAACAATTTTGCAGTGTCTTAATCGTGGCGCAGCTCGGTCCAGGTTTATGCTTTACTCAAGGGTTCAGTTGAAAACAGCGGTTTAAACCTTCTCAAGGCATTTGAAAAAATTTCTGAATGCTAAAAGACTATTGATTGTTTAGTACTAAAATGACTGGTATGATAATTCTCCCCCTGAACAGTTTTACAGGGTGTGGGGTCGTGAGACTTCCCCTTCCTACTTTATGCAGGTACTAGATACTTCTTGACTAAATCAACGGTTTCATGTTTTCCCTTGCTCCCAATCTATCTATCTATCCATCCCAACCAGGTGACGACCTGCCTTGGTTTGAATGGTTGGTTGAGGATATGAATCCTAACCCCTGGGTTCCCTGGGGGTCGTGGGTCATTTCTAGTCTTCTCTCCGGGTCGTGGGGTGAGCAGCGCGGTTTAGTCTCCGGGGTCGAGGGTTAGCTTGCCAGGAGGGGTTTCAGTCTCATACACACACACAACCTACCACATGTTGTTTCTCAGATTCCAGATGTAGAGTTTAACACTTTTAGTTGAGGAGCTGGATATATATTAGGGACAGATGGAACAAGGACGGAGTAAATGCAGAGAATTTTTTCTCCGTCCTCAGTTTGACATTAATTTTCTGCAAAATATTAAAACTAAAATGGATTAAGAGAATTCATAAAAAACTTGAAAGTCATATGAAAATGGCACATACAAAAAATCTGTGTAAAATTTGCTTCAAGTGTAGAAAAATATCCTGAAATTTGCTTCAAGTGTAGAATAATATCCTGAAATTTGCTTCAAGTGTAGAATAATATCTTGAAATTTGCTTCAAGTGTAGAATAATATCCTGAAATTTCTTGAAATTCCTGCGAACAAATCCGTCATGTGGGAAGTACTGTAATAAACTTTTTCTTAAGATCGCCGGATTTATTTAAGTTTTCTCAAACTATTCTGAAATTAAATTTCTCTTGCTCAGATTGATACATCGTAAATATGGGTTAGAGCAGATGAATATCTGAATACATATAAATGAGTATATATTGATCCTGTGTCTAGGTTTCCTCAGCCAGATGTGTTTTCTACCCGGAGAACACCAGTTCTCTAATAACGATTCTAGAAAATCATAAAATAATAGAAACCTCATATCCCCCTCCCTCCCCAATCTTCCTCCCTCCCCCCTCAAACACACATCTGTTCCCGCAAAATTACTCTTTAACTGAACTAACTCCTCCCTTCTCTCTTCCATTCTTCTTCAATCCTAAACATCATTCACATATCATATAACCCCATAACACATCTACTACCCATCCTTCCCATATAATACTTACTACTAATCCTTCCCATACCATGCTCACTTCCTATCCTTCCCATATAATATCCACTACCAATCCTTCCCATATAATATTCACTATCCATCCTTCCTCTATCATACTCACTACCCGTCCTTCCCAAATCATCTTTACTATCCATCCTTCCCATATCATCTTTACTACCCATCCTTCCCATATCATCTTTACTACCCTCCATTACCATATCATACTTACTACCAATCCTTCCCATATCATACCCAGTACCCATTCTTCCCATATCATATCCACTACTTACCCTCTCAATATCGTACTCGTACTCAATACCCATCCTTCCCATAAGATACCCACTACCATGTCCTTCCAATATAATTTACATACTACCCATCCTCATCCTCATTCTTATCATTTTATATCCACCCCCCCCCCCCTCCTCCTCCTCATTCAAATGTATGCAGATATATGTATGCTTGTTTATAAATTGATGTAAACACATGTGCATAAACTTATGATGTCTGAATCTAAAAACTTGTTAATACAATTAAACAATTTGAAGGATTTTGTTGATTTCCCATGATGTCTGACAAGTTTGACTTTATTCCGCGGAAAAACTTAATTGAAATTAATTATGGAAATCTCTGAAAAGTTGACTAGCGGATTTATCTGTGTTTATCTTTAGGATTCGAGCTAACATCAGTTTATCATATTTAAATTGGAAAGCAATTGAGGCCAGACACAGGGGGTATAAAGATGGGACGATTGATGGAAAAGGGGGAGTTTAATGAAAAAGAAAACAAAGCAACATGTGCCCACTGTACCCTATTCCCTTGTCTTTAAAAGTATCTAAACCTGTTCACTGCAACACTCTCCGTCCCGACTCAGTTTGGTTCCGACCATCGTACGATAAGGTTTCAACATGCCCTGCTACGAAGATGAATTCTCTCCCACAGATACAAGTGAGGATAGTATAGAGATTTCTATTAAACCAAGTCACAAAAAATTTACGAAAAATAAAAGAAAATCCGTGGAACCTCGCCGCGTGAAAATCCAGAACTGGGAAAGAGAAGACTGGAAACTTGAGGAGAAGAAAAGAAGTTTAACTCAAGATTACAATGAGAATGAATTTTCATTAAAGAGAAAATCTCCGTCCCACCTTGCTCCAAAGAAAAGGTTTAAATTTGACGCCATGCTTGAGATGGAACAGGAGAAGATAAAGGAAGAACAAATTGAGTTCGAAACTAAACCTTCCCTCACCCCTTTCCGTCCTTGGGCGGATACAGAGGAGATAACTCCGGTTTCTTCTCCTTCTCTTCCTCATCCAAACCTTCCCTTCCTGCTCAACTATCTCCGTGTAGGTAACCTGGTCCCGGAGCAAGATGAACCTCTTGCTCTAGTAGTTAAGAAGAAATCTGACCCGGAGTCAATTTCAGTTTCCCCCTCAGATCTCCGGGTTAAAGAGGAGATCTTAAATACATCTGACTCTGATCTGAGTTGCTATAGTCCCAGTAGATCGTCCGGTAAGAAGCAGACAAATTACAAGAGTATGACGAAGGATCGAAGAGTTGAAGCGAATGCTCGAGAACGTCAAAGGGTCCACACGATAACTGCAGCATTTGATACATTGCAAGCTGCTATCCCATCAGAGGATGAAAATATCAAACTATCCAAACTATCTGTGATAAAGATTGCTACAGCCTATATCATGGCTCTCTCTAGAATGGCTGGATATGATTATACAGAGGATAGATCTGCTCCGTCCCTTGAATCCGTTCTTGAGCATTGCAGAGAAACCATCCACACGGAAACGAAAATAAAGAACAGAAAACTGAACGTATAAAATTATTTTAGACTTTAAATACCGGCTGTGAAATATATATTGATATATCTATTTATGTCTTTTATTTATCAAGAAGAGAGAAATTAAGAAAATTGCAAACTAAGGATTTAAAAAGAAGTAGTTTAAATTGAGTATGTAATAGTAGTTGATGAGTTTAGCATGCCCAGAGATTAGATTAACAGGTGAAAACAATTAGTTGGACAAGCTGTCCTCAATTTTCCCTAATAAGGCCGTGTGTCCAGATTTTAAACAATCAAGCGAAATTTTTAGAAATGAGAGACTTTACAACTGCCATTCGCGTTTTTGGTCTGATCATCTTGAGATAGAGAAATTTACAGTGGAGAATTCCAATCTTCCTGATTTGGAGTTTTGGTAGGGAGGAGAACTTTCTTTCAATAATCCAGCTTAAACCCCTGAACAATAAAACACAGTTTTCAATCAAAGTTTCTTAATCGCGAATTAACATCTTTGGCAGCAAAGAGAACATTTAAGAATATTAGTATTGCTCGGTAGATTTTAAACTAGTTCTTGATAAGACTAAACACTAGAAATAAGTTTTAAAAACCGAGAGAATTTAATAACTCCCCTTATAGCTTTATTTTTCGATATATTTCAAAACATGAATTCTGCTAGTTAAAACAGTTAAAGTTTAAGTCATGAAAGGTTAACACCACTAGGAAATAAAGATATAGGAATAGAAAATTAGAGTTTGAACTCTTATGTCACTATTTCATCGTGCTTTTTAGAATTTATACATTAATTTATACCTAAAGATAGAAATAAAGAACTTTTTAATGATTATGAAAAATAATAATCCAAAAAGTTTTAAAATAAGTTAGTATAGACAAAAGAAGAGGAATAGAAAAAATAGATAAGGAGAAAATTTGAGAGAGAGAGAAATTCCATTTAAGAAAATTTCCCATTAGGTTCAAATCTTACATATTCTCAAAATGAAGACTTATCGATAAAAACTAAAATGCTTGAAAATCTAGTAGATAGATAATCAAATATTTTGTTTTATATACATAAATATACAACACTTTTAATATATGCATAATCATACAACACTTTTAATATATACATAATCATTCAACACTTTTAATGTATGCATAAATATACAACACTTTTAAGGATACCGTTGTTTTAATGAAGCTTAGATTACTTGAAATTACGTCTTTACAATCTCTTTAAATATTGAAATGTAGAAACTGAAGATCAAGACAGAGGAGTTGAATAAGAAAATTAACAAAATTATTAAATGAAAGAAGAACAAAATAATTCGTGATCATATTTGATGAGAAAGAAGAAACCTTGGTAACTATTAAGAGTGTTAACACCTGTAACCTAGCTGCCGGTCACTGCTGACGGAC